ATTACTTAAGCTCCATTTTTAATATTTTTTTTCATAATTTTTGAAAAGAATGTGATTGAGTAATGCTTATTTATTGATAATGTATAGTAAAATTTCCTTGATTTGATAACCCTTAAAATGGTCCAACTATATAAATATGTTTTTGAGATCTATAGTGATTAACAATAAGTAACAAAAGCAGATAATTTAAATAATTTATATCGAAATTTTAAAAATAAAATACAGAAATACAGACACAGAGATAGAAATATTTTGCTCTTTTCAACAATATTTTAGAATAATCTAAAAGTTACCACAAATCTTCCAAAATACAAAAGAAAGAAGCATTCAAGCACATTGTCTCAACAAACGAGTGGAATTTTTTGAACATCCATACAGACAAATCATTACATAAGCAAAATAATATTTTTTTTTATTGTTAACAGATTTTCAATTAATTATGCTTCACAGAGAAGTATGTATTAAAAATTCCTGTTAGTTCGGTGGGTTCTGTAATGTCGAACTTAATACAGTTATTCATTTGAGCATTATTGTGGAAATTAGAATACCTGAAAAAAAACAACTATTCAACAGTATTCAAAATTAAATCATTAAAATCTAAACGAAACTTGTTTATTTGTTTTTAAAAAAAGAAACTTCTTAAATAATTATATTCAAATGCAATGATGCACTTTATTTATAATCTTTTTCCTCGAATTATGTAGCAACAAATTTAAAAAATGAAGTTAAAAATATCGTCTGATTTAACGTTAAATAGTATTTATAAAAATTATTCTACAAATAATCGTAATCGTTTAACGTTGATCGTAATAATGTAAATTTATTTAGATGTTTAATTTTTAGAGTTAATTGAAATAAATAGAATACGTATGAGACCTATTATTTTAACCATTGTAATTAAAAGAATAAATTTTATAAGAATAAACTGCAAAGTTTAAGTACAGGTAAAGAATTCAAAGCGTTTAAAGAAAAAGAAAAAAATCAGACGATTTATTTTTGTGCTAAGAATTTTTATGTTGCAGAAAACTAAAAAAATTTAAATCAATAATGAAAATAACTGACGACCAATTGAATTTTAAATAAGGTATTAAATATTAAATTATACGAAACGCTGCCCTATCATTAAATGCTGGGCTAAATGTTTCCATTGATACAATCAAGCATATTAATTTTTAATGTTTTAAGTGAATTAATTTTCAATACTCTTGAATAGAACACAAATAAGATATTTTTTCAACGAAACAAAGCATCCATCTAGAATTTTATTGCAATTTAAATACTAATATAAAGACAGTTTCAAATATTGATCAATATAATTGCAAAAATGTAACAGATGATTTTTTTCCCCTGAATTATCATATTGCACGAAACCAGCCATTTTGTTAGAACATAAGGAATGCTATACTCAATTTTCAAACAAAAGGTTTTAGAACAATATGCTTGTTTAAATATTCATCGATGTTTAGAAAAATTACGAACAAATATAATATGTTTATTAAAAAAACAATATAAATATAGTGGGTTTCGAAATTTTTATAGATATTTTTGATTTTATAAAAGGTCCATTATTTTATTTCTGAATACAATTAAATACCTTGCAAAAAACTATCAAAGAATCGTTATTTCTAATTCTTAAAAACAAGCCATTTAATTTATTTGATTGTACGGACATATTTATTTTTATTTAATGTTGCTGTCCACAAACAAAACTTTTATTGCCAATAAAACCTTAGGATAGAATATAACAAATAAACCCAACCTTCAGTCCTAACAAAATGGCTTTAATTTGAAATAAAATATCATATAATTAAGTAACAAAACCATTCTATTAAATTTGGTAGAAATCGGTTTGTAATTTTATTGTTTTTGTATTGCCATAAATCACTAAACTTTAATATAGCATTTAAACAAACATTTAAAGATAATTCAAAACATTTAAAGATAATATCTCAGTTAGGTTTGAAAATAAAGAATTCAAAATTTTTGAGAAGTAATAATTAATATTTAAGTGAAAAATAAATTAATTGAATAATATAGGTTTAAAAAAAAGCAATTTGAAATACATGACTTAAATAAATTATTAGTTATAGATAAAAACTTGGACAGTCATTTTGCTTACAAACTCCAATTTCTACCAAAAAAATATGAATATTCTTAGCCAACATGTATTGCACAAACTTGTGAGGTAACCAATAAATAACAAGATTAGTTGTCATCATCTGATTTCGATAACACTACAGATTCACAATTCACACGGCTTACAGGTGAGGGGGACCATAACACAAAATCAGATTCATAATTCATTGAAAATAAATCAAAATTAAAAAATACTTCTTCTCTAAGTGCAATTCTGGCATTGCCACACAGTAATCCTGATAGATCTAATAATTATAATCCTGATAGTTAAATCCTCACATAAATAATACAGAACGCCACAGATGGCGTAAAGCCATTCGAAAAAAGTGTGAATTAACCATTTGGGGTGTGTCTTCGGTATCAAACAGTCATTTTTTTTATTTATATTTTCATTAAAAAATTCTCTTAGTACTAAATTTTATTACATAGGTATGGGAAATAGGGATCCACAAATAGAAGAAGCCTTAATGACATGGGGTATATATTTATTTATATGTATATATATATTCATCGTCGCTGAAAGTACATAGTGAACATATTATAGGATGGTGCCTGTCCACCCTGCAAAGCAGGGCCTAACGGGCCCAGGCTGGCCCGTACATGTTGACACACGCGCACACACACTCTGAAATAACGTAGAAGACATTGAAATATGCTGTGTTAGGATGATAAATTTATTTATAACACTCGCCCTCATTCCACTATTGCCTGCTATAGTAAAAACCACAGATATCCAGGCAGCATAGGAGAGCGAGTCGATGAGATTTGGATGAAATATGGGGGTGTGTTGAACACAAACAATTGAAGATCTGTACAAATTTTGTATGTGTTTTAAGTGTGGTGTGTGTCTTTTGTTATACTGCTCAATGTGAAACCGAAATGTCAAATCAAATAATAAAACAAATTAGCGAAAAAAATAGTAGATTATTAAGTTTCAGTAAAGTAAGAAACGCACTGCAATTCTGAGGAAAATTAAAGAGACGCAATTAACAATTTTTCTTTATATTTAAACTAATTTCATAATAATTAAAGATTATAGTTAATTATAGATTACATTTAATTAAAGATTATAATTAATTATAGAACACGCTTTAACTAGAAAATAAGTAACTAGTGTTATCAATATTTGTAAATTTAGAAAATTTTTTAGCTTTTGATTAAATAATTATTTATATATTATTAATTGATATTAATTTGAAATCATTCTTCTATACAGAAAAAAAGGAAGATAAAATTACATTTTCTTTATTTTCTCTTCTTTTATGAGAAAAATGTTTTTAAAAAAATTCTTTTAAATTCAAAAACGTCAAAACAACATTTTAGATTCAAGTACTACCTAGAACGACTAAGTTTTCATTTAAAACTTAAATCTCTATAACAAAAATAGACTTTTACAAAGTTTAAAATAATTTTAAAAAAGAGAAATTGATCATAAAATTAAATTTAATGAAAGTACTCAAAATCTTTTTTTAATATGTAATCAGTTGAACAATTAAATTTAAAGGGACATTTCAAATTAGCTTTTAATAAATGCATTTACTATTTAAATGCAAGTTCTTTAGTACAAACTTTAACTTTTATTCGGATGTGGTGTAAATAAAATTTAATAAAACAAACAAAAAAGAAAATATCAAGGTACTGCGTTGATATCGATAGAAACAAAAAATAATGAATATGAAAATTAAATTTGAATTCCTACAAAAATTATCGATCATTTCAGTGCAATATTTTCAAGAATTCTTAAACCTTAATGTAATTTTTTAATACAATTAGATAGTCCAAAATTATCAATTTTATTATATTTTAAATACAAAGGGAAAAAATATTTTTAAAAAAATTTGAATAAGAAAATCAATTTTAAGAAAATTATAATGGTTAAGTAAAGTAGCGTCACAAAATATCATTCGTTTCAATATTTTTCACAGTTTGTATTTCAAAATTGTAGACTATAAAATGACGAACAAAATGACCGACGATGATAATCCGGTGCAACTGTGGTGTGTGGAGGCTTAAAGTCCTAAATATTTTTAACTGATGCCATTCCAGGTACAATTATTAATAACATTGTGTCTGTAGATTAATTAAGAAAAATATCTGCCTTACCTCCAACAATGAATTCCAAATTTACAAAAAATTTTATCTACTAAAATCTACTAATGTATCTACTAATGTAGATTCAAAGCGTATATTAAGATGGGAAACAAAATATTTTTTAATTAATTATAATTAATTTTACCATGTTTACCATTTATCTGCGACCATTTATTATGATTTTAAAATTAATGTGTTTTAACTCAAACCATGACTCAATTAAAACGGTAGACCAGCAATTATTTAGTTTCATCCTATATATTATGAATACAAATTGTGAAAAATATAAGAATGATTGACTTTTTAGTGACTATAATCAACAAAGATGAAAACCATGTGTGTACTGTGTGTAATTCTGAGTGTAAATGTGTAATTACGTGATGGCGTCAAAAAGTGCTCGTGAGGCCCATCAGCCCACACGAGCATAGGAACTGTAAGTCTCTGCAGTCCTATAGGACTGCAGAAGAGTTGACCATACAAAGCCTTACGTTTTGTAAGTCAGTCAACAGGTTTTGAGAACAAGTACACTAGGCAACGCTTCTCTGAATAAGCTAAATAAGGCAAGGAAACAACAATCGCCAATGATTTCATAATTCACCAAATATGCTCGCCAATTTCCTTACAAATCTACAAAGTAAGTTCATTAGGAAAAACAGTTATTTGTCAACATATGCTTACCAAATTACCCATTAATATAACATACTCGACTAATTTAAAAATTTATCTAACATTTATTAATTATCAATAATTAATTGTTTATTAATTATTTGTTTTATTAATTGCTTGTTGTGAAAAAAAGTAACATTTACACAAGAAGTCAACTTATATCCCATTAAAATGTAGGTTTTAATTTGGCGAAAGTATAATTTTATATAAACTATATTGAAATTATAGCTGCTTAACAGCAATGGGTCACATTTAATGCTGGAGAACACCAAAATTATTTCGAAGTAAACAACTTAAATATTTAAAATTTATTGTTATGTATTGGCTGGAAATTGAAAAAAAAATCTGTAAGCGTTGCCTAAACATTTGATATAACCTTACGTACAAAGGTATCGAACATTTTTTTAAACTTTAACTGATATTTATACATTTACAACATGGACAATGTATTTAAAAAACATTTTGTCCATATTATTAATCTTTTCTTTTTTTTATTTATTTTTTTAAAATTTTTTCGATGTAGAAAAAATTCAGGAACTTTGACAGAAGCTGTGATAAAACTGCTTAGGAACATTAGTTTTTTAATATATATAGTTTGATAGCATCAGTAACAATTCTCAAAGAAAAAAGGCCGCGTAGTGTGGATAAGGCGAAATGACCCTCTTAAAATGAAAGTTGCGTTGAGCTTGGCTCATTGGGTCGCCTTAACCCGCTCACATCATACCCAGGCACGTCTATTTACAATAAATATAAAAGAAAAACACTGGCCTAACATGCATTAATATACTCCCAAAAAAACAGATGTTATGATTTCCGTTCAACCGCCACATGGTGAAATGATTGTACTAATTATTTTGTCTCTATTTTCATTAACCCTGTTTTGCTGAGTCCGAAACGAGCCTCTTTTCAACCACTCCAATGGACAAAGTTGATAGTAAATTTTTTGTTAATATTATTATTATTTACTATTACACGAAATAGCGGTTTGCGAACGTTCAGTTTAAAACCTACGCTAGAAAATGTCAGTTATTTTTGTTAAGATGCATTTTACTTAAACTCTCTACATACGTATTTATGACAATGAGCAAGGACCGGATATGCAATCACGATCACGGAATCGAGTGCGGTGGAGTGACTTTTGATTTACAATCCACCAAAGTTTACGTTTGTATACGCTTTATCACGGTTGTGCTACCTTTTTCAAGTACAAAATGAGTACAATCTTGTAAACATCATCGAAGAATTCATCTTTTTTTGTACTTTAACCCACTTGAGGAATTATTATATACCATTTTAAGCAAAATTACTTTCAAAATGGGCTATTCAAAGAATAGTCATTGCAAAGAGAAATTTCTGTTTTGCAAGGATAACAAAAATTATCCCCAACTAAATGACTTTAACTATTCAATTAAAAACATCTCATGTTTTCAATTAGAAACATTAATTCAGTGGCAATGTTTTCAATTAAAAACATATCATTTCTGTACAGTGAATCAGGTAGCACAACTTTTTTTTCAAACATTAAGTTCGTTATTGCCACTGAATAAAAACATTAACTGAGAGTCAGGCTTGACGGATAGTTTTAGATGCTTTAGATATTGAAAAGGCCATCAGGTCAACATTCACGGTACATTGACCGTATGAAAGACAACTTATTTTAATTCGTTTTTAGAGCCTTCCGGCTGGCTTTTATTCTAAGATATTGAAACTCCAGCATCAACATTGCATCCCACTGCCGCCGTTTTATTTTTTGCGTCACTAGGTTCCGGGTCTAAACCCATTCCCAGCCTTATCGAGTCCATTCCCATCCCAGAAAAAAACAACTGAGCCATATCTGGCATCATTCCATTCCTGCCCAATAGCCCAGCAGCTGAAGCGTTGCCTTCGAATGCATTGTTATTCAGAGGAGGCGGATGTGTAGCCATAGCCATACGATTGGCGAGTGTGTCAAAGTGGTTGGCGACTGCAGAAGTCGCCACAGCTGTAGCAGCAGCTGCTTCCCTCTGCAGCTTTTGCACTCTTTTTACATGCCGATCCATGTCGCAGTGGAACTTAAAGTCGACGATGGTGGTAAAACGTTCTCGACATGCTCGGCATTCGACGTGGCACTGAACAAGCTTGAGGGTGGCTTTTATTTCGCTGACAGGGCTGTTCTGAAAGCAAGAGGCCCGTTGATGGTTGAGGCACAACACTTCGGCAGGATAAACCATGTGGCACTTCTTGCAGACAAATCCAACGTCTACTGTTACCTCTGCTGCCTGTCGGAAGTCGGCTTCTGGCACAAGCGATCTCAGATCAGACAAGGATTTGCCGTCTTGACTAAAACGTGCCACTGAGTTACCAGGTTGCGTTAAACGGCCCGTCACTTCTGGAAGTGCAGAGGCAGGAAGCTGTAGAAGGGAGAGAGGACTGCTGTACATATTTGAATCGTACATCATACCGCCTCCATGAAGAGCTCCTGCAAGAAAATAGAAAAACTACTTTAACCATACGATAAAAAAAATTAAAATTTGTATTAATATCTAGTATATACGAAGGGCAAAACAATCAAATGTAATAACTCAGTGTTGTAGTGGCAAATTTTTCTATGGAGGATTCTAATATTCCGTAATATTCGGAAACTTCGAAATTTTGTGCACATTTTTTAATAAACAATATCACAGATTTCTGTCTGAGATTTCTATTGTGTAAATACTTAGAAATGATAAAGGCTTCTAAGGGCAGCATTGGTCTGTTGCAGGCTGTAGTGTCTCGAAAGAAGAAGACCTACGTCTGGTACACAAATAAGAAATATACTTAAACTTGTATATAACCACTCATGTTTGGGAAAATTCTATTTCAATAACGTAGTATGTTATTACTGAAAATCTCGCTAAGTGCCAAATAATATAAGATTTTGAAGAAGAAAAATTAGAACTTTCGTGTCTAATAAAAAAGTAAAGCATTTTGTCAAACTAAATATTTAAAATGAAAGTATTTTGACTAAGGTAGAAAATCTTAAAAAAAAAAAAAAAAATAACGAGTAAAAGATTAGAAAGCTATGCTTTACTTTTTTAACCTTATAATTATTTTCAAAAGCTACACAAGTTAAAATGCTTCCAATTTATTTTACTATACCATCACAGTTACCAAGCCTTGGCCATCCATAATCCCAATTGCGCATAAAAAAGATTGCTCGACAAGAAAACAAGACATAGCTGCCAGTAAATATGAAGGAAAAAAATTGTTAATGAAAACACAACATAAAAATATGCTTTGTAGTATTTTATTCTTAAAAAAATAGGTGCTGACTTAAATACATCATGCACCATTGGCCGTCAAAAATTATTAGTATCGTACCAAAAAAGTAATATGCAAAAAAGCACTTTAGATAAAATAGAGCACTTTATGGCGTCATTTGGGAAAGGGCTTTTAATATTCTTTATCTTAAAGATAAATTTTAAACCAATAAGGAGGATTTCAGTTTTAGAGAAAACGGTATGGGGACAGAGTTAGTGAGGAATTTTTCTATACATAAATCAGACATTTGATTGTCCATCAAAATTGAGACTAAATTATTTTACTATTATATCTATTATGTCTATATGAAAAATATTATGCGTATATTTTGAAAAACAATTTTTAAAAATACAGAAAAAAATTAAGATGGCAGCATTTTTTGACAGTGCTTAGGAGAAAAATTAATTGAAAAAATATAAAAACTTTAATAGCAATGGAATAAAATTTTTGACCCTTAAGGAAGATTTTTTTTCTTCTAAGGAAAATAGTACGGTAACAAATTTAGAGACAGTTTTTCTTCACATAAATTCGACATATTAAATCCCTCATCAAAATTGAAACTAACTTATTTTACTATAATATCTACATAGAAAAATAATACGCATATGTTTAGAGAAAAAAAATTAAAAATCCAGGAAAAATTAAGATGGCACTATTTTTATGACAGTGCAAGTGTGCTTAGAAGAAAAATTAATTGAAACTAAAAAAGGAAATACTTTAATAACAATGGAATACAATTTTTAACCCATAAGGAAAATTTAATTTTTAGGGAAAATGGCAAAGGTGGCAAATTTGAAGAGGGATTTTTCTGCACATAAACCAGACATACTTAACTGCCCATTGAAATTGAGACTAAAATATTTTACTCTGAATATATTCATAGAAAAATTTGCATATGCTTTGATAACAACAGTTTTGAAAAGTCCAGTAAAATATAAGATGGTACTATTTTTATAAACAGAGGAATAGCGCTTAAATAAAAAAAAAAAACAAATAATAAAAAAATTGGAAAAAGAAATATAATAAATAAAAAAAATAACTTTAAGTTCTACGTTTATAAAAAAAAATACTAAAAAAATAGAAAACAGCATTATATTTGTCAGACTTAAAACGAAAAGCAAAAGGTGCATCACTTTTGAGAGACGTGGGGGCATTTCGGATGGAAATAGAAGATATTAAAGTCGAAGTTTTGCAATATTTCTGAAATGCAACTTAGTACATTTCGACTAATTTCTTCCACTGAATTAGCAATTTAAGTGCAAACCTTGTCATCTGTCTATGTTTAAATGATGACAATATTAAAGTCGAAATTTTGCAATATTTCTGAAATGTAACTTAGTACATTTCGACTAATTTCTTCCACTGAATTAACAATTTAAGTGCAAACTTTGTCATCTGTCTATGTTTAAAATGAGAAGATATAGTTGTTCTGAAATCCAAGAAAGTAGCCATGAATAGCATATAATATTTGTCTTAATAATTATGTCAAAAAATTAATGTCATTTTAAAGACTATTGTTCAGACCTAATAAAATTTATATAAGTTATGTTTTTTAAGAGAGCTAAGTACTTTTAAAAAAGGAAAAATTATTTTTTGAAAAGATATTTCTTGCAAAATTAATCTATTTTCAAGGGTAGGAATCTTGAAAAAAAATATCGTTAAAAAGTTATAAGTGGCAAGTAGAAAATTTTAATAGATCTTGAGTTTGATAAATGACATATTAAAAAAAATACATAGAGGGATAAAAAAAAAATTTTGAGTTTCACTGACAAAAAATGCAGATTAATCTTTATTTTGTCACAAAAACAGGTCAATTAAGAACAAGTTACATCGCACATTTAAATTTTTTTCGGAAAAAAAAAAATTCGAAAACTTTTTTTTATTTTTATTCCAATTAAACACAATGAATTGTAAATAAAGAAAAACATGCAAATAAGCAATCATCTATTATAATAGAGTAAAAAATCACCCAAAAAAATTACATATTTTTTTCTTTGAAAATTAAAGCATAAAAGAAAAGAGTTGAAAAAAAAGAGCATAAAAAATATCATGAAATTAAACCTGATTGAAAAATAATTGTAGTTGCCACTCATCGAGCTTGAGTGGGAAGGAGGAGTGTGTAGGAGTAGTAGGCGTTAGTGTTATCGCTGACAAAAACTTCATTAAAAAAACACGTCCATCATCTTAAAATCTAGTAGCTACACTTTCTACCCCCTACCCCCGGGTATTTTTTTTATGTACATATATATTCTTTTCCTTTTTTTTTTCTCCTTGTGGTCGGTATAAGCGTTCAGCAATAGGAGGAGTTATTAAATTAAACCGTCTTTGACGATGAACCAACATGTCCCCTTCCCCACACCCCTCCGGCACTGAGTTAACAAGTTAGCAGGCCCAAAACTAATAAAAAAAATTATTTTTTGGCGTGAAAAAAAAAGGAAACTTTTTCTATGTGTATACATTCGTATTAGAAAGTACACTTTCAGACATTGATGAAGATGAGAAAAGGGAAAAAAGCAGGGGGAAAAAATTGCGTTAAAAAATATCCCTAGATGTGTGGGGTGGTGAATTAGGCACTGGGTAATTAGTCAGTTGAGTGTTGTCATAGCAACGTACTGCCCCAGGGGTAGGAAAAACCTGAGTCATACTGTAATACAACTCAGTGAATGAGAAGGGAGTGAAAAAATTATACTTTTTTGGTAAGGTACATGAGATGGGTCGGGTACTAAAAAAAAACGATGTGTTTGAATTAAAACAGTGACAATTGCAATTGCAATCAATTCAGATCTAAATACAAATTAAACTTTCCAAGACCAAAAAAAATGGAGAGAGGGTAACTGAGATTTTTTTTTCACTAATTACAGTTGCCTATCTTTTCCTCATATTAGCGTAAAACCAAAAATTACCAGAGGTCTGCAAAACCTGATCAGAAGGGAGCAAAACAAATTGTAGATGGTGCCCAATTGTCCATAAAACTGAATATTGTGCACAATGAATGGATACAGGACGAATAAATATTAAAAATGGATGTTAAAAAATTGCCTACCAGTTGCCAGTTTACTCGAAAATGCAGTTTACCTACCAGTTTACTCAAAAATACACCTCATAGGCATTTTATTATTACTATTTCTTAACAATATAAAATTATTACAAATATTTTATAACATTCTAAAAGTTACTTCCAGTCACGCTGTTTCTTAAAATTTTTTGATCATATTCGAAATTAACCTTGTAACGTTGACCATATTTTAAGAAATGCTTTACATTATTAATAATATTTTTTTTAAAGTTTAAAATTCTCAATTTTAGAACAATTGAACTTATAAATTACCTATTCATTTTATATCAGCCCTTGAACAGCCGACCCAATTTTTCTGAGTTTACGACTACTAATGTTTAAATCCGCAAACTTGTAATTTTGAACCCAATCCCGAAGACAAGGGTCTTCGTGGAGGACTTTTTGAGGGAACTAACCCACATTTGCGTTTGATGGAGTGGAAAACCACTGAAACCTTCTAAGGTTAGCCTAACGGCAAGAGAACTCTAATTCGTGATCCGTCTACTGCTGAGGATATTTTACGTCAGCACTGTGGTCGGTACAAGCTGAGTTCGGAATTCGTATCGACTAGCCATCGCTGGGATTCGAACTTGGCTCATCTCATTGGAAGGCGAACCCTCGATTTCCTGAATCAGTGTTTCCCAAACTTATGACTTTTGAGTACCCTTACCAAATTTTTCGTAACGCTGTGTACCACTAATAAAAAAAATGAACGCATTTTTTACTTTTTTTCCCCTCCAGACGTGGACACGTACCTAGGTTTGCAAAACCCTTACCCGTATAGTCCACGTCACATCGGAGCATTTAAATTATTTTTAAGATTATATTAATTTAAAATCAATAACTTTCTCTGTGCAGTTTCCTTCGAACAAAACTCTGTAACGCTTATTTCCGGTCTTTTAAAACCTGATACAATTGTTCTTGACCTTAGAAGCTATTTCATAGCATGCTGACTCTCAAAAATTGATCCTGGAGCGTGGAAATTATAAACATAAGTAAATGCTTGATCTGTGTTACAAATTGAGAAAACAAATTCTAACGTTAAAATTAGCTTTTAGTTCTATTATATTTCGAAGTTTCATAGTTTTAATAATTAGCATATAGTTTTAGTGTCTATAAATTAC